TTTCTTGATTTCTTTTTTTTTTTTTTTTTCCAAAGTTCTTATACAGTTTAATTTTATTTACAATGCGTTTATTTAAAATATGTTTTTCATCACTTTACACTTATTAAAATAATTTATTTTGAATATATCTCTTTTTTTTCTTCTTAAAAGCTATTATGCTTTACATATGCTTAGTATTGATCACCCTAAAAAATCTAAAAACTTTTCTTTTATATTTAAAAATATAACCGTTTCAAACATAGTTATCTAAGAACGACATCGGTTTTTTTTTTTATCTTGTAAAGAATAGTTTTTATGTTTTAAAATCTGCCTGTTAAACTTTCTCATTTTTTTTAAAGGGTTCTTTACGACGTTTTCTGTACAGCATCATTCATGATTCTACTCAATTTGTAAAAAAATCTCTTGGAATTTTCTCTCAATTTGTAAAAAAATAGCTTAGAATTTTCTTTTTAGCGTTCTATGTCCAGTCAAAGAGTTTCTCACTTTCCCTATATTCTATAATCAATTCCGTTGACAGACCATATTAATAAAATGATGCTCTTTTTTTGTTCTCTCAGTTTTCGTTTTTTTTTGTTTATTTAATTTATTAAGTATATTTTAGGTATTTGAGGCAATATTTATGTGTGGTCCATAATTAATAAATTGTTTTTTGCCCTCGTCCTTTGTTAAATTAAGCGTCGTTTTCAGGATTAAAGATTTGATGACATCGCAAGTAGTTCCATGGATAGTAGCCAATAGATTATTAGCTTAGTATTGATTAGAGTAAGTCAGGGGAAACAAAAAACCAAGAATCTAACAATATATAAAAAGAACAAAGTTATTTTCAATAGTTCTTTTAGTAGCCCTTCATTTTTTCCCTTTTTCCTTTTTTCTTTTTCCTTTTTTCTTTTTTGTCTTTATTTTTTGGTTTTTAAATATTTTTTACAATTTAATTTTTATGTGTTTTTTAAAAGTAATTTTTTTTGTTAATTTTTTTCCTTTTTATTTTTTATACATAAATCTGTATCTATTTATCTACTATCTACCGTATATAAAAAGAAACAAAAGCCGTGTTTAGAATTGATTCCGTTTTTGTTTTTTACATTTTTCGAGAAAAAAATGAAAATGTTTTTAAAATGAAGTTTAGTGCAATAAAGACAAAAAACAGAAATAAAAATGATTTTTTGATTTAGTGTAAAATGAGAGAGTTGTTTTCATTTTCTCATCTCTCGAGAGCAGAAAGAGAAAGAGAGACATTAATGAGTTTTTTTACATTGAAAATAATCTTTTGATAAAACTACCAAACGCATTTTTAAAAATTATTTCTGTCTGAGATTGAAAACGTTTTTATTTTCATTTTCATACAAAAAATAAAATTATTTTGAAACGAGTTCCAAACGCGCCTAAAACTTATTTACCGTTCAATTCCAACAGGTTTTCCCCCAACTACCGTGATTTTTTTTCCTTACTTATTTTTCTTTTTCTTCTTTTCTTTTTGAGCATCTTCTTTCTTTTTCCTGTATTTTTGTTTTTGTTTTTGTTTTTTTTTGTCTTTATTTTTTTTTTCATTTCATACTTTTTATAATGGTTTATTTTTATTTTTTAATTTTGTGAGAGTTTCTTTACAAATTATTTATTTACCGTGTGCTTTTTAAAAAGATTTATAACTTTACTCTTATAAAAATAATTTCTTTCACATGTATTTTTTTCTTTTAATTTTTATCAATGACAAAGATATTTTTTTTAAACGCGTCCCTACTTAATTCCTTTCTATATAATTCTTCTTATTTCAAAAGTTATTATTATGCGTATTTCTTATACTTAGCCTAAATGTTTCTTTTTTTAAACAATTATTTCATGCAATCATTTGAACTATTATTGTTGATCTTATCTTATCTTAACATATTAAAACTCGTATAGACAATTTTCATCCTTGCTGCATTGTTGGTCGCGTGTCAACTTCATCTCTTCTTTTCTTTTATTACTTTTATTACTTAAGATTTCTAATAATTTTTTCAATGTTTGTTTTTTTATATTCATGCTCCGCCTTTATCTAATATAATCTAATTTATTCTAATTTAATTTAATAAAATATTTAAAAAGATCCAAATCCCTTTTGAACTTGGCTCCAGTCTCCTCCATCTCTTCCTTCTTCTTCTTTTTTCTCTATTTTTTTAACTTTTCCTTTTTTAGTCTTTTATTTATTTTTTCTTCTATGCTTTTGCCTATTGTCTATTTTGTTTTTTTTTTCTCCTAACATTTTTTGACAGTTTTTCTCTTTAAAATATCTTTTTTTTTAAATATATTTCTACTTAAGTATTTTCCCTAAATTTTTTCTTTAACTTTTTTAAATTTTTTCTTCTTTTCTTTTGCATTCTTCGAAATGCTTTTTTTAGTTAAGATAATTCCTTTCAAATATTCCTCCGCTTAAGTTTTTTTTTTTAAATATCTTTTTTTTCCTCTTGCTCCAACTAATGGACTTGTTTTTTTAAAGAGGCCATGTGTTGTGACTCAAATAGTAATATAACAATAAATTATAAAATAAAAGAGCCAACAAACTTTTCTTTCCTTTTGACATGTGTCACCACAAGAAGACTTCTCATTCTTTTTGATACATGGGCCTCACGTTTTTTTTAAAACATTTATTGATTTCTTTTTCTTTTCTTTTCTTTTTTTTCCAAAGTTCCTATACAGTTTAATTTTATTTACAACGTGTTAATTTGAAATACGTTTTTCATCGCTTTACACTTATTAAAATAATTTATTTTGAATATATATCTTTTTTTTCTTCTTAAAAGCTATTATGCTTTACATATGCTTTTTGTCCTCAATGGCACTCTCAACTACTATTAATTTCATAAATAAAATACCCTAATTTATCTACATTTAAATAGCTTCTCTCATATATGAGTCTACTCAATATTTTTTTTTTTTTTTAAATGTGGCCTTCATAAAATATTTTTTTTCTAATTGCTTATATATTTTTTTTTTTAAATGTGGCCTTCATAAAATATTTTTTTTCTAATTGCTTTATTGATATCATATCATATATTCTTAAATGTGTCTCTACCTATATATTTCTTTCGTTATAACCCTCTTAAATACAAACTTTTCATAAATACATGAATATAAATTACTGTATAATTTACTTCACTAAAAACTTTATTTTCCTTTTTACTATGCCGTCTATTTAAATTTTTATTTTTTTATTTTTATATCTAAAAAATATAACACGTTCAATACACGTGCGTAACGCGTGGTTTCAACTAGTTTTATTAAAATATGACAATTGAACTAGTGTGACTATATCTTAATAATTTTATTTGTGACTATATCTTGATAAATTTATATAAATATCTTATCAGATAGCTTTTCTTTTAAAATTTGTCTACAAATTGTAGGTTACCATTATAACTTGTATAAAGTGAGCGAATGAGATACAATTTAGGGCAAGTTGTATGTTTACATACTTGTTTTTATGTATCATTTTTTTCCTCTTCCAAAGTAGGAAGGAGTGAAAAATAATTGGCCTCCATAGATTTTTTCTTATGTAGTAAACAACCCAATAATTATTCTAAAAAAACCCAATAATTCTTTTTCTACTATAAAATATTTTCAATAATCTATTTCATTCCACTTTTGGACTCTACCAAACATAACATAAAGGTATTTTAGTATTGAGTGCGTCTATTGAAACCTCATTTTATTTTTCACACACTCTTTTTTAATAAAATTTCTCATTACTAATAACTTTAATATTAGGTGCGTCTGTTGACACATCTCATTGTATTTTTCACACACTCTTTTTTTAATAAAATTGCTTATTACTAAATTACCCAGACAATAATATTTAAAAATATACTTATTACACACACCACCTAAAAGAATTATTCCCTTTCAAAAATTAAGGAGAAACCTTCCATCAAACTTAGTCTAACCCTTTTTTTTATTTATTTTTCTCTCTTTTTTTAAAGTAAAAGAACACAACATTTTGTGTTTGTTATTTTTTATTCTCTGTCTAAAGTGACCTTTATTTTAAGAGTTATGCTTGGTTTATGATGTTACATTATTTTTCTTTCATAAAAAATATAAATTTCAAAAATTAAAATAATGAACCATGATTTTAAACTCATTAACTAAATGTCACTAAAAATTTTCGATCACCTTTGGAAGTCTCTTCCTTCCGCTAACAAAACTCAGAAAGTCAACATTAGGGGTGACATATCGTGTCACGTGTCGTGTTTTGATCGTTTTTTTTTAAATTTACAATCAACCCGAACACGACTCGTGACACGAAATTTTTTAAAAATCGCAACACAAATACGACACGACCGTTTAACGAGTTGACACGACACGATCTGAAAATGACCCGTGACACGCAATTGACCCGTGAATCTGAAATTGATACAAAAATTGTATACTTTTATTTACTTTTTTACATATTAGAAATAACTTAAAATTCATAACCCACTAAATTACAATAACATCTATTGAAATTAAGCAAATAATAGTATAAGATTTTGAGTATAACTATTATGCTATCACAAGTTCATAATAAAATTTAAAATATGAAATGAAAAATATATGTATTTTTTAGTTTTTTATGAGTTTCGTGTCGTGTTCAAATTAGGCGGGTCTAACTCGAAATTGACTCGTGTTTTTTGTGTCAATTTCAGGTCGATCCAATTCTAACTCGAACTTCTTTTTTCTCAACCCTAACTCGTAAAATTTGTATCGTTTTCGAGTCATGTTATCATGTCGTGACCCATATTACCGGCCCTAGTTAACATTACATTTAATTTTTTATTAAATACTTTAGTTAAGTCATATTTAAAATAACATTTCAATGTCGATTTATTTTATAAATACAAGAGATGTTTCGAGGAATTGCGCAGTAAAAAGAGCAAAAAAGGATTTAGGCAAAACACGGGCATTTTGCCATTTTGTGTATTTTTTTTTTCCTTATTTTATTCTGTCTATGGCTGTTTTATTACAATTTTTACTTTTCGTCCGGTCTCCAATCGAAAACAGGGCGTCAAGCCTCAAAACCTCATTGTAAAACTGGTTTGCTTCTATCTTCTTCCACTTCACCTTTTGAATCTCTTTTCTCGATCGCTTTCCGAGCAAAAAAGTGGGGTCAGATTCTTCGTGGGTTCGCTTTAAATCCCAAAGAAGTTTGTTGGGTTTTGATTGGAAAACCAGAAGAGAAAGAGAAGAAAAACCAGAGTAAAAAAAAAAAAGAAAACAATGGCGATGCCATGGGGGATGACTCTGTGGATGGCGAGGATGGTTTGGTTGGCTCTCAGCGGCTGGGTCTCCTCTTGCCTGATCGTCGCCGACGAGGTCGCCGCTTCTCTCCGGACCGGCGATATTGGCCCTTTTCATGTTGGCTGATATTCATGGTTTGTTCTTCACAATCTACTGTTTCTGTTTATGTTATGTTTTTGTCTGCAATTCTAAGCAAATGTAAATTTTTTTTTTCTTTTTATTTTTTGTGTGTTTTCTGTGGTGGGTTTGTTTGATTTGTGTGTTTTATAAGATGTCTGGTCTGAGAAGTATAGATATATAGGGTTAATTAATGAAATTTATCAAAACTGTATATTAGTTTAGTAGCTCCTAGTTTGTGGAATGTTTGTTTGTTTCATGGAGTTTATACTTTATTGGAGTTTTTAAGAAAAATCGTCTCTATGTTTCTTCCAACATTATTGTGAATTGCATTGTTTTTCTCAGCAATTATCAGTATTCCCTTAATGCAACTTTCTCGAAGTTGAAACTTATAAGGGCCCGTTCTTGTCTGAGTTGATAACTTGATTTTAAAAGTGTATTCATGTGAGTGAAAATAGAAAAGTAAAATTTAAATTTTTGTGAGAAAATACTGTAGTAAAAACTTGAGTAATTCGAACCAGCGACACGAAAAGGACCTTAGAAATTATTTTAGACTCGAACTTTCATAGACTTCGATAAGTTGATTGATAGCTTCTTTTCTGATTATCATAATGCTCACTTTATCAGTTGATGAGATTTGACTGGTGGTTTATTAGTTGTATGTCACGATGATGGAATGCTCTTCTTTTTTTTTTTTTTTTTTTAAAAAGTGTGGTAGCCCAAAACCTTACATGAATTGTTTGCAGTAACATAACTTAAAAATTTGAAGATAAAAAATGATCATATGAAGCAAAGCAATACGATCCAGGGGTTAACTAGTGCCTCATTCAATTGAGTATTTACATGAGGAAGTAACTTAGGCTATGTTTGGTAAGAACGAAAGAAAATATAAAGGAAAGAAAGGCATATGACTAAGGTGAGAAAAATTTCCGCGAGCAGTTTTGAACCCCGTCATTCAATACAAGGTCAAAAAGAGTTAAACGACCTCTAATTTGATGCACTAATGAAGACTGTTAAAAGAGAGAAATAAGAGGACGCTTAAACTTGATGCTATCTCGGCTTAAATGTTGTTGAGTTGTGTCAATCAACCTTTATGGTTTTTTAGTGATTGATTGATTCCAAAACGCTTTTGACTGAAATGCTTTTGGCAGCCTAACTTAGCGGCTGATTAACTGAAAGGAATAACATGTTATTTGGAGAGAAAAATGACTTACGGTTTGTTATCCTCGTAGCAAGTTCTAGGTCGAGCAATAACTGAAGTTCATTAATTCAGTAGGTTTCCTGTGTGTACAAGTTACTAACTTCCCTTACTATCTCCCCTTCATTATTTTTTTTTTCTCTTTTTCAAATGGAAAAACAAAAGAGATTTATCCCTTTTGGCCTTGGCTCTTCTATTTTAAATGTTTTAGCTTCCTGAATCAACAGGTCCTTAGATTTGGTAAATTTTACTGTCTGTATACACCAAATTCAATAGTATGAAATGGCATGTACTTCTCATGAAAGTTGTGCATTGTGGTTCTACTGCATGGGGCCTTGGAGAGGGCAAGGAGGGGATGCTCTCCCGAGCTGCAAGTTCAAATTGAGCGTCGGTTTAAAGATGGCTGCAGTTATAAGCTTTCTGAGTTTACAGGCTTCAATCTTTGAGGCAGATTACCAATCTGTTAATGTGTTTCTTTGTAAATAGAACACTTAACCAGTACCATCTATTTTGGTTATTAGAGTAGACTCTTGTTGACAAGTTTCCGCGAGACTATGATTAGAACTTATAATCTTTTAGTAGTCTCAATATCAATTATTAACTGCCAAATGTTAAGATGGATGTGTGTAATGCACTTGCTGTAGACCTCATCTACATGGTTATTTTGTGCATGGTTATAGTATTTGCCATATCAAATGAAAAACTGTTAGTACAATGGAAGAATACATGATTAACTTTCTTTAAATCTTTGGCTATTGATAAAACAATATTATTTTTATGATATTCATTCGTTTTATTATGCTCGGCTGCTCTCAAACTGACAATATCTTTGTGCACATGCAGGTCGGGAGAGGCTAAAAGTAACAGAAAAAGAAAGGTGAGCAGAGTCTATGACCTGCAAATCTTTCCCTAATTTTAAGTTTGTGATTGTTCCTAGTTGAATTGTTAACATGGAAATTTGGTTTGTGTTTTCTCAATTAGGTAGTCTGAAATCATACTTGTAAAGTTGGCCATATCTTGTACAGTTCAGCTTGTGACAAATGTTGTAATGTTATTCTACTGGTGTGTTGCATTTGACTGGCCGTTGTCTTGGCCAACAAGGCTTAACGTCCCCATATACTGTCAAAGTTTGAATGTCAATTGCCAAATAAAATGTAAAAAATAGTGAATTACAGGTTAGGTTCAGTTTTCTGAAACAGTTTCTGGTTCAAGTTTCGATTTTTTGCCCCCTCTTTCGCTTAAATCTTAGCAGATTGGTTTCCTTTGTGCCAATGATTTTCTTTCAAACTCTCCATTCCGATCTCTAGAAGAATTGGCTGAAGATGACCCACCAAGCAAAATTGCAAATGTTGTTGGAAATGCGAATGAATCCGGAGATAGTTGGAGAGTGTTCTTGGACTTGGGATGAAATGTTGGTTGTTATTTTATTTTTATTTTTTTGTGGTAGGGCATACCTATTTTTAGTTTGTGATTTTTTGGAACATTAATTATATCAATAGAATCAAACAATATGTAAATATGATTAAAAAGAATAGACAATTTAGAAACACACTGACATTAGGATCTTTTCTATTTTTATTTGAGTAAATCCTGTCAAGTCCAATGTTCTGGTTTCGAGAAATGCTTCTTGTGTTGTGTAACTTTTTATGTGAACGCTTCATCTAACTCTTCCAATCTGAATACTTGCATCCAAATATTAAATTTGTGAAGATTATGGTTGTGTTTGGAGTTGTTTTTGTTTTTCACGTTTTTCGAGAAAAAAAAAATGAAAACAGGAGAGAAACGGCGTTTGGCACAATTAAAAATAAAAAACGAAAATGAAATCGATTTTTTAATTTAAAGTAAAATAAGAGAAATGAAAAATGACTTTTAGTCGTTTTTCATTTCTTGTTTCCGTTTTCTCTTCTCTCGAGCAGAGAGAGAGAGAGATATTAATGGATTTTTTTTATATTGAAAACAATTTATTGATAAAACTACTAAACGCATTTTTAATAATGATTTATGTCTAAGATTGAAAACGTTTTTATTTTTATTTTCATATAAAAAATAAAATCATTTTAGAATGAGTTTCAAATGCACCTTATAAGTTTTAAATCCTTGAGGCTTGTTGATCTTCATTAAATGCACCCTACAAAAACAATGTCGTTCTGCGCTAGCAATGCTGTTAAACCTTTTTAAGGAAAATCGTTGATCTTATCTTTTAGAGTGCATGGATTTAAATTTTTGTCCCTTCTTAATTAATACCTGTTTAACTAATTTAATTCTTTAATTAACAATCATATTAAAAGTAAGAGGTCAAATTTTAGATTTATACACTGTAAGAGGTATTTATTTTCAGGGAGAAAGAGGAAAATAGGCCAAGACTTGAGATGAATTAAAATTAATAGGCTAATAGTTTACATAAGTTAATAAATAGGTCAAATTACTGTTTTCATCCATAACTTGTCTGGTTATGAACCATAACTTGACAAGTTATTGTCCATAACTTATCTGATTATGAACCATAACTTGACAAGTTTATTCATAACTTATCTGGTTATGAACCATAACTTGACAAGTTATGGCCTATTAATTTCTATAACTAAAAATGACCTATATACTTTCTTAAGCTTTTCATATTGGCCTATTACCTACTATTTCCCTTATTTTCATTTCCAAATGTTTTAAAGAAAGCAACACAATTAAAGAATGAGCGATTTTATTCAGCTTTTGAGTGAGGCTTGAAATAAAGGTGGTTCTTGCGTTAGGAACTACCTGTGTAGGGAGGTTCAACCCACACTTGAAACCGAAGTTAACTACTCAAATCCAAAAAAAAAAAAAAGGGAGAAAGAGAGAAATATGTCTAAGACTTGAGATGAATTAAAATTAATAGGCCAATAGTTTACATAAGTTAATAAATATGCCAAATTACTGTTTTTGTCCATAACTTGTATGGTTATAAACCATAACTTGACAAGTTATTGTCCATAAATCACAGTTTTTGTCCATAACTTGTATGACTATGAATCATAACTTGACAAATTTGTCCATAACTTATCTGGTTATGAACCATAACTTGACAAGTTATGGCCTATTAATTTCTATAACTAAACGTTGACCTATATACTTCCTTAAGCTTTTCATATTGGCCTATTTTCTACTATTTCTGAAAAAAATGGCAACAGCTCGGTGCCACGTCACAAATGGGCCCTGTTGAGTGAAAAACTGAATTAATTGTCCATTTTATTTCACCAATTTGAGTTTAAAATTCAAGTTTTGCTACAATAAAAAACTCTCAGAAAGAGTCACATCTAACTTTTTTGTTACAGTAAAAAGCTCACATAAAGTCACATCTCAACTCGAATTAAAAATTCGAATAAGCGAACTGAACGGACCCTTGAATTCTATTTTACTCGATTTTGATTGTTAGATTGAAGAGCTTCGGTTCAACCTGAATCAAACTGATGTTTTAAAAAAGGTTAATAGCTCTGTTAGTCTCTGAACTTTGAACACAGTAACATTTTAGTCTTGAATTTTTAATTTAAGCATGAACTTTTACTTTTTGACAGTTTTAGTTCATGATAGTAAAATTGGCGAACAATTTCTAAAATTTAATAAGGACGAACGTGTGTCCATCGCGTGATAATTTAAAATTTTATGGTTAGATTTACGTTATATGTACAATATTCTATCTATCATTATTAAAACTTATTAAAAATTATAATATTTTGTACATAATGTAACTATCTATTTATGTAAAATTTTCTATTATCATGCGATAATAATGTAATTATTCAGGCTAAGTTTCAGAGATCGTTCGTCAATTTTACTATTATGGATCAAAACTGTCAAAAAAATGAAAATTTAGATACTAAATCAAATCAGATTAAAAAAATAATATAAATTTAACGGTTGATATATAGAGAACACCAGTGTTCCTAGAAAAGACAGAACACTGGAAATATTCTCAATAAATAAAAAGTTGCCCTCCTTTTAGCTCTATATGTTTACCGTCTCTCTAACTCAAGATGAGCCTACTCGACACAATGGTCTAACAGAAAAATTACTAAAATTACGTGCATGAATTTAAATTTTTACTTTTTATTATTAATTAATATCCTTTTATTAAAATAGTTATTTTAGTGGTATTTGTCAAGACATAGAAGGCCCAAACTAATGGTCCGTTCTATACCGAATTGAAGCCTCCGGTTACCATAGGTAGTCGGTTTGGTTTGTATTTTTAATTTAGGAAACCGAAAGTTTTGTTTGATTCGACAGTAGCAATAAAAACCAGCTAAATCAAACGAAAAATACCCTTATTCTGTGGGATCCATTGCATCTCTTACAGAATTAACTCTGTGTGAAGCGCCAGCTACATCTTTTTTCTTTCTTTTTCTATTTTTTATTTTTAGGAAATAGTAAAAAATAGACTAATATGAAAAGCTTAAGGAAGTATTTTAGTTATAAAAATTAATAGGTCATAACTTGTTAAGTTATGGTTCATAACCAGATAAGTTATGAATAAACTTATCAAGTTATAGTTCATAGGCAGACAAATTATTGACAAAAACCGTAATTTATGGACAATAACTTGTCAAGTTATGGTTCATAATCAGACAAGTTATGGACGAAAACAGTAATTTGACTTATTTATTAACTTATATAAACTATTGGCCTATTAATTTTAATTCATTTTAAGTGTTGACCTATTTTTCTTTTTTCCTCTTTGAAAGTTCATGAATCACACAAATTTAACTGAGATTTTTTAAATATTTAATTACATGATAGGTTTTTCTTTTGATAATTAATTACATGATAGGTTGTTTATATTATTGACATTCGACGTGTCGTTACAACTTACTAAGAAACAGATGCTAAACGAATAAACAAATACGTCGTTTTCATATTCGTCGATGTTTTAACATTGTCGTTCCTTGCTCTAAACTAAATAGAAACGCATTTCATATTTCATGGCGTCAGATTTTGTCTCTCAAGAAATTCCAGCGAGAGTCAATGACCATTGTTAATCATTGCGTTCATGGAGAAAATATATGGGACATTTTCTGGCGAGCCAAACAGAGGGCTAAGGTTTGTCATTATTTGCAGAATCAACTCCCTAAAAAATGAGGGCAACGAGACCAAAACTCCTCTTTTCGATATACAATTCCAGACTTTTATGCCATCCCATCAAGCATAACAATGCCCCTAAAATTTTATTGCTTGAAAGAGATTATAGTGTCAATTCTGGGGTTGCACGGTCCAATTGGTGGCTTACCAAGCTAAGCAAAAGTGGCAGAATTGGCGATGCACGCCAAGTGTTTGATGAAATGCCTGACAGAGATGTTATCACTTGGACGACGGTGATCACTGGGTATGCCAGGTGTGGGATGATTGAGGAGGCTCGGAAGTTGTTTGATCGAGCGGATGCGAAGAAGGATGTGATTACTTGGACCGTTATGGTTAATGGGTACTTACGGTTGCGAAGGATTAAGGAAGCGGAGAGGTTGTTTTTTGAGATGCCGGTGAAGAATGTGGTGTCTTGGAACACAATGATTGAAGGGTACTTCCAAAATGGTCGGGTTAATTCCGCTTTGGGTTTGTTTGATAGGATGCCGGAGAGGAATGTGGTTTCTTGGAACACAATCATAACAGCGCTGGCGCAAAGTGGGAGGATGGAGGAGGCACGGAGGCTTTTTGATATGATGCCTGAACGGGATGTGATTTCATGGACGACGATGGTTGCGGGTTTTTCGAGAAATGGGAGGATCGATGAAGCCCGGGTGGTTTTTGATAGGATGCCTGTGCAGAATGTGGTGTCGTGGAACGCGATGATTACGGGTTATGCGCAGAATATGAGGTTGAATGAGGCGTTTGAATTGTTTGAGAGGATGCCGGAAAGGAACTTGTCTTCATGGAACACAATGATTACGGGTTTTATTCAGAACGGGGAGTTAAAGAGGGCGTCAAATTTGTTCAACAAAATGCCAGAAAAGAATTCCATTTCTTGGACAACAATGATCTCGGGATATATACAAGACGGGCAAAATGAAGAAGCTCTGAAGATGTTTACAAAAATGGTGGTGGATGGTATAAGACCTAATGAAGCGACTTTTGCGAGTGTTCTAAGCGCTTGTAGTAACTTAGCTGGTCTTGGTGAGGGCCAACAAATACACCAAATGATAAGTAAGACAGTCTTTCAGGGCTCCGAAATCTTGGTGTCAGCACTCATAAACATGTACTCTAAATGTGGGGAGTTGAGTACTGCAAGGAAGATGTTTGATGACGGGTCGAAAAGCCAAAGGGACTTGGTCTCTTGGAATGGCATGATTGCAGCCTATGCACATCATGGATGCGGTTCAGAAGCAATTAACTTGTATAATGAACTTCAAGCGTCGGGATTTAAACCCAATGATGTCACCTACGTAGGACTGCTCTCGGCATGCAGCCATGCTGGCTTGGTGGACGAGGGTTTGCGGTACTTTGATGAGCTGGTGAAAAGTGGAACGGTACGAGTAAAAGAAGATCACTATACATGCTATGTTGATCTTTGTGGTAGGGCAGGGAAGCTCAAGCAAGCTTATGATTTTATTGAGCGGCTTGGGACCAAGCCATCAACAACAGTTTGGGGGACGCTTCTTGCGGGATGTAATGTTCATGGTGACATGAACATTGGGAGGTTGGCTGCACAGAAGCTTCTGGAATATGAGCCGGAGAATGCTGGTACTTACTTGTTGTTATCTAACGTCTATGCTTCCTCCGGGAAATGGAGGGAGGCTGCAAAAATGAGGCTAAAAATGAAGGAAAAGGGGTTGAAGAAGCAGCCTGGTTGCAGTTGGATAGAAGTAGGGAATATGGTGCATGTATTTGTGGTTGGGGATGAGTCTCACACTCAATCTGGCCTTATTTATTCTTTAGTCTGTGATCTTCATGAAAAGATGAAGAAAATAGGGTACATATCAAATAATGAATTGACTTTAGATGAAGTTATATAAGTGACATGAGCTTTTTCTTTTTTTAATATAAGACGGAATCGAACCTGCAATCTCTCTGGTCCTACTAGACTGAATGGTCTTAGGCACATAAGTTCTGAATTGGCGAATAGGTTTTACGAAGATATGACTTAGCCTCTGAAAGGTTTGCCACTTTCTTCTTCTCCATTTATGTTTTACACAGGTTAGGAATTTTGGTGCTTTAGACTTCATGAGTGTACACAATTGAAGTTGTAAATATAGGCGTGCTTCAGTCCTATTTCAATTATTCATTCAATCAATGTCAGTCGTAAAATCTGGCGTGCAAATGAGGGAAAAAACCAACAACAATAATGCTAACAACTGAGCTGTACTTTCTTTATCTGAACTAAATCTTTTACCATTTTTTTTTTAATTTTTCTATTTAAATCTGTTCTGGACATGGATTTAAGCAGAATTTCTCCATGATGATGATCATGGCTCTATTTACGAGAGGCTTCAACTCAGAAATGTGATTGTTGCAATTGATGGAAATTTCAGAGGAGCGCCCTCACACTAGAGGGGAATAAAGATTTAGTGGACGTTTAGTTTATAGATTTAAAATCATGATTCAGAATAATTTTCGATTTACATGTGTTTTTATGAGAAAAAATACTGTAGCGAGTCACGAACCATGATTTGAACACTGTCGCGAATTCTCATATCAAACCATGATTCATATATTAAACGCTATAAGTTTTGTCATCACTTTTATCTATTTCTGTTCTTACTTTCTCCTGTTGTATTATAAACTTGAGAAGGATAATTGTGGACACAAGTTCTTGAACATTTGTGTGAAAGTTCTGACTAAAGACTTGGATTGATCTGAAAATATTGCTAAAATATCAAAATCATGGGATGGATCTTTTTCCTTTTTTGCCAACGCTCCAGCCCAATTACTACTAATTTCAATTATAGAAGATACTGAAAGAGACAAGATTGCCCACATTTTACAAATGCTCAGCTATAACTTCTAAGTTTCTACAGCAAAAGAAAAAGAAAAACTAAACAAGAAAAAAATCAGGAAAAGGAAATCAATGTGGCAATTTTACTTGTTTGATCAAATTGGTGAAGGTAAGCTAACTAAACTCTTTATCCAGATTGAAAACTCACAGCATTTAGAATCTGCATTACAGTCTTTTGGGACCATATTTTTGTTAGCGTTTATGCCCTTAGGAATAAATGTAACAATATTCTTTGAGATATTTTAACTATTAATAAAGATTTGTTTATTTTATATATCTATGTATTGTCCTCCTTATGTTCATAATAGTTGAATGTATGATAAGCAAACTGAAAGTCTGAGACTGTCATTCTAAATCTTTAGGTCATGCATGTAATGTGAAGAACATGCGGAAGACAAGAATCTAAAGATGATAGTCTAAATCTTATGATCCACAATCGAGGGAATAAAGTTAGGCGCTTTATTCATGTTAAGATTGTTATGTTGTCTACTTCCTAACGGAGACGGCTTGTCTTGGTCGTCGGAGGTGGGACTCCATAGGTGGAGACATTGATATAGTTTCTAATGGTGAAATCTATATTGGATCGGACTAAAGTTGAATTGTTTTAATTAATAATTCTGTTTGAATAAAACAATTCACTTTTGACGAATTATATGTTGTCATCTTAATCCTGAGATGGATGATGAACCTGTATACTTGACTTGTATCCTTTGATGTACTAAAGGGAGACATCTTGACATTATGTAAAGGTACGCTTGCCGGTACATTGGGGGTATGACTCGTGTATGCGTAGATTCGTTATTCATAGATAGTGGAATCCATAGCTCCTATAAAGAATCAATGATATCCTCTTATGCATTATCAGTGGATTGGAAAATATGAGCGCTCAGCCATTGGACTACTATGTGTTATCTAATGGTTTACTGTTTGTAAT